TACTCCCAGATCTCAATCTCGTAGTCACCACACAATACTACTTTATCCGAAGAAAGGCAACAACATTCCGGAGTCAGGTGAACTCGTGATTCTAAACGAGCCGAAACAACTTCTTCTTGGATATCCCATACATGGAAATATGAATCGTTTTCGCTATCCTGAGTACATAAGAGAAGAGCGGTACCGTCACTTGAAAATGCAAAGCATGTTACCATACACTCGCATTTTGAGTGAAGAAACTCTAATTTCGATTCTATAAAACCGTACAATTCTAACTTACCTTCCAAGTGAATGGCAATAAGCCTTCCGTTTGAGGACACTGCACAATTCTTCACAGCGAGAGACTGCGGGCCGGATACAGTCGACCAACCGATGCAGACATCACCGAAGGGGATGAATTCTTTATCAGCAGACGTCGAGGTTTGCATCACCGTAACTGTCGAGTCAGAGCTAACAGATATAACAGCATTACTTGAACAGAACATCGCTGCAACGGATTTTCCTACAACCAATGGTTTCACAGGTTGTGCTGGAAGAAACTTAAAAGGACTGAATAAACTTGTCAAAAAGATGGCTGTCTCCTCGGTACCATGACGAAACAAATACCCAACCTGCCTTTCTCTTGTAAAGTAGCCAACGTTATTGCCCGACACACTCGAGAGTACTTCACCTGTCTTGAAAGATAAGGCGCGCAATGAGCCTCCAGGCGACTGATAAACAAAAAAAAGATCATCATTTGAAAAGGTAAAGCGTGTGGATTTACTGAAGGTATATTCTGTTTTTTCGTGATGAATATGGTGTTCTTCTTGATTTCCTGTTTGTAACAAGCTCACCTGCAAAGAATCATCAGCCTGGATAACCCATTTCATTTGTGGTGACACGCAACTAAGAACTTTTCTGTTACCAGAATCAGGGAGATTCTGAAAACCTTCAGGAATGTTCCTCCAAAGGCCAATCTTGAATGCGTCATTATGGACCTCTCTGAACAACTCAGGGGACAAAAAATCTGGGTGCCCTTCGCTCTCCCCCATCAAAGCCCATTTGCAGAAATAGTATATTTTCCGTAATTTAGGAATGTCATCTAAATTTTCAAGTCGCTTCCTCTCAAAAGCTTCCCTAAAGAAACTCTCCAACACATCCATGTGAAAAGTCTTCCGCTCGACCTCCTGCTCTAGCTTTCGCTCATTCATCCGCAGAGTCTTCTTCAAGTCATAAAAGACTATTCTGAACAACTCAGGGGACAACAAATCTGATTTCCTTTGGCACTCCCTCCTCCAAGCCAATTCGCAGAAACGAAGTAATTGCCATAATTTTGGAATGTCATCTAAATTTTCAAGTCGCGTGCTCTCAAAAGTTTCCCTAAGGAAACTCTGCAACGCATGCATGTGAAAAGTCTTCCGCTCGACCTCCTCCTCCCGCTCAATCTCCTCCAAGTGATAAAAGACCTTTCTGAACAACGCAAAGGACAAAAGCTCTGGGTTCCCTTTGGTCTCCATCATCAAAACCCATTTGCAGAAACCGTATAATTCCCGTAATTTAGGAATGCCATCTAAATTTTCAAGTCGCTTCCTCTCAAAAGCTTCCCTAAGGAAACTCTCCAACGCATTCATGTGAAAAGTCTTCCGCTCGACCTCCTGCTCTAGCTTTCGCTCATTCTCCCCCAGAGTCTCCTCCAAGTGATCCTCGATCTTCTTCATCAACGAGCTATTCGACATCGACATCGCCATCGCGACGAACGTCTCCAGATTACTCTCCAGCTGCCGCACAGAACGGAAATAACAATAAGCAGTTACGGTGGCAATGTTACAACGTGACATGGCTTTCCATATGCCACAACAGCTCTTTTTCGATTCAACTTCACTATAAGCCCCGAACACATGGCAGAAATAGGTGAACGGGTTGAGCTGAATATCCGCTGAAAAAACTTGCTGTAACAAAGGCATCCCAGTCTCTAGATCCCAGACCTGATATTCA